GATCTTGTGCTTCAGTATTGCGTTGGCTGTCTGTGGTCTTTTGTGATTCTACATGAATTCTTGTATTATTTTTTAAACTATGATACATGATATGGGGATTAAAGATCTCTTATAATTCATTTGTTTTTTCCCTACCTTACCTTTTACTGCTCTCTCAAAGCCTGTAATCCTTTGTAAGGATTAAAAAGCCTATAAATAAACACTATAACTAAAGTATAAAAGCATTTCAAAATTATTTTATATGTATAGGTGTTTGAACGTATGTCTGTGCATCACATGAATGCTTGGTGCCACTGGAGCCCAGAAAAGGGTACTGGTCCATAGCTAGAGTTACAGCCAGTTATGAGCTGCTATGTGGGTGCTGGCTATTTAAACTGGGGTCCTCTAGAAGAGCAGCCAGTGCTCTTATCTCTTGAGTCATCTCTGGAGCCTCCAGTCACTTAATGCTACTTTTGTTTTTGTAGTCACCTTTAGATAAGAAAACTTGTTAGAGGGGCTAGAGAGGTGGCTCAGCACTTGGAAACACTGACTGTTCTTCCAGACGACCCGGGTTCAATTTCCAGCACCTCCATGGCAGCTCACAACTGTCTGTAACTCCAGTTCTGGGAGACCCAAGACCCTTACACAGACATACATTCAGGCAAAACACCAATTCATATAAAATAAAAATAAATTTTAAAAACCCAGAAAACTTGTAAGAAGGGTCCAGGGGATGTAGCTTAGTTGGTATTCAGAATGTGTGGCCTGTACAAAGCCCTGAGTTTGATCCTCAGCCCTGGATAAAACAGGTGTGGTAGCACATACCTGGGATCTCAGTACTTGGGAGGTAGAGGCAGGAGGATTAGAGGCTCAAGGTCACCCTCAGTTCCATGCTGAGTTTGAAGCCAACCTGGGATTATTTTCCTTGAAGTCTTTCTTTCTTTCTTTCTTTCTTTTTTTTTGCAAACCACATGTGTCAACCTGTGTTAGTCCTGGTCCAAGCTTCATCTACTCCACCCACTCCTATCTGAGAGTGGAGGTACCCTAGGACTGTGCTGGCTAGGGCAGGCAAGACTACAAGGCATTCAGGATGTGGCCTATCTTTGTGACCAGCCTTTACACTCTCCAGAGAGGAGTTTTCATTCTTTGTACACATGCTCTTCTTGAGCTCAGTGGCCACTGCTTCCTCCCACTGACTTTAGCACCAGTCCTTGACCTGCACAGGTTAAACCCTCCATCTTCCATCTTTTGCCTGAAGTCTCACTAGTTACAGCCTTGTGCTCTGTTTCCAGGCTCTCTTTGATACTCTCAAGTGTGGAGATGGCCCAGGACTCTTTGTACCTATTGGATAGTCTCATTGAAGGGACAGTAAAATCCTAGCTTCTTTTTGGACCAGGGTCAAAAGTGGTTCTGTGATTCATCCTGGCTTCTGTGGGAGGATCCTCTGGGAACCAAGGTCCAGGCAGATCATGAGAGATAGGATGTGGTGTGTAGCCACCCCCAGGGACATGAATACCCTGCTGAGGCCCCGAATGTACTGCTCAGCCAGATTCTTCTCTTTCAATATTAGTATATCTTATTTATTTTTTATTTTTTATGTTTTTGGTTTTTGAGTCAGGGTTTCTCTGTGGCTTTGGAGGCTGTCTTGGAACTAGCTCTTGTAGACCAGGGTGGTCTTGAACTCACAGAGATATGCCTGCCTCTGCCTCCCAACTACTGGGATTAAAGGCATGAGCCACCATTGCCAGGCTCTATCTTTTTTATTTTTAAAAATTTCCATTAACTTTAGTGTGTGCATGTGGGTGTAGGTACTCAGCTCTCTCTCTCTCTCTGTGTGTGTGTGTGTGTGTGTGTGTGTGTGTGTAGGACAGAGGTTGATTGTCTTTCTCAATGGCTCTCTGCCTTATTATTATTACTTATTGTAATTCTTTAAATTTAGTATTGGAGAGGAGTGGGTATGCTCATGCCATGATGGCAGTCAGAGGACACATTTGTTGAACCTGTCCCCTACTTTCACTTTAAGTGGTGTGATGGCTAATTTTGGTTGACTGCAAACAGAATCAACTAAAACTCAAGTAGCTGGACACTCAAGTGAGGGTTTTCTCATCGGATCATTTGAGGTGGGAAGAAACACATGTATGTATGTATACTCATTCTATCAGTGCTGCTTCAAATAACTGACTAACACACATGGCTTCTAGGGTGCAGGTCACCAGGCTTCCACAGCACTTTCATCCCCTGAACCATCTTGCCAGTCCTCAACCTCACTTTTTTTTTCTGATACAAGGTTTCTCTGCATAGCCTTGGCTGTCCCAGAACTAGCACTGTAGACCATACTGGCCTCTAACAAAGAGAGATTTGCCTGCCTCTACCTCCCAAGTGCTGGGATTAAAAGGCATGCGCCACCACCACCCGGCTTCAACCTCGTTCTTTGAGGTAAGGTCTTTCATTGAACCTGGAGCTTACTGACTGGCTAGGACAGGCTGACCAATAAGCCCCTAGGATCCTCTTGTCTTTACAACTCAGTGCTTGGATTACAGATGTGTAACTTTTTACATGGGTTCTGGGATCTGAATTCAGATTCTTGTTTGTTTTGTCTTTTGTTTTTCGAGATAGGGTCTCTCTTTGTAATAGCCCCTGTAGGGAGTAACCCTAGCCCCGCCCAATAGTCCTGAGGCAGGTACCAGGTGGACCTGGGGACTCGCCCATAAGGGCGGGGTGAAGGAAAGCCGGGATGACGTAAAGGGGACTTCTTAAGAGCGGCACGGGAACCGCGCGCTCTCTCTTTGTTCTGGCTGCGCTGGCTGGGTTCTTAACCTAGCTCTGGCCTGTGTTTCACCCGGCTGTGCTTGGAATAAAGAGACTTTAATCCAATATCTGGCGCCCAACCTTCCTGACTACACTGGATTCAACTCACTCCGTTTCGACTGACACTCCAACCAGAACCTCGAGTGACGACTTCAATCAAGTTGAGGATTTCAACGTAGATCTTCAATCAAACAAATCATCTAACATGGACTAGATATAACTCACTAGA